ATAGATAACATAATAAGGTCAAAGAGGCCAACACACATTCAATAACATTAAATAAGTAAACTAATGCCAAGGTAAAGGTGATACCAGATCAGTGTTTGAGATATTTTCTTAAAAGAAGGTCCATCCTCCCAAATTGGGATCGATAAAGCACTTCTTATCTTGTCTTATTCAAAATGCACTCTGGGAAAGGTGGAATAAAAAAGTTTCGAAACTAAAACAATAAATGTCAACTTAAAGACACAATATTTGCTCTCAAAAAATATGGTTTCTATAAAGGATTGTGTATTGCACGTGATGGACCCTCCAACTTCCTTAAAGGCAATAGGAGAACAACTGCATGTAAGCAGCAGAATGGAAAAATGGACAATCATTACATTGGATTTCGGATGATAAGGGAGGACTTGGCCAAATGTCTGGTAAATACTGCTTAACTTAAAGAGGACCTATCATGCAAAATGCACTTTTGTACGTTTTTATACATGAATATGTGTCCCCGGTGTTCCAGGGAACTCACCAAGTGTCAGAAAACACAACCCTCTCTATTTTCCTCCATACCCAAATCTCTTAAAAAGGGGCTGCAACAGATCTGATACAGACTGATCCAGATTTGAACACTTCTATGACGTCACAGAAGTGGCGCTACGGCTATTGGGCCAACTCCACCAATCAGAAGGAGACAGCCACGGACATTGCCGTTGGAAAGCGCTGGAGACGCTGTAGTACATATGCCAGGCCTGTAGGTGGTGCTGTTCTCACAGAATCAGCCCATGATGCAAAGACAGTGTTAAATTGAGCAAAATGAGGAATGGCTAAAATGCATGATTTGTTTGGTATTTTGAAAAATAAAAAGTATAAATATGCCTTATATAGGTATGGTCCTACACTATATTATTCAAATATAGCATGATAGGTCCACTTTAACTTAATTAAGGGCTGTCTTACCGTCTCGGTACCACTGGGCGAAGGGGGGCACGTTGGGCAGGTCTGGGACCACCACCATGGAGCAGACCAGGCTGATGCAGCTGCCCTCCGTCCCAAAGCTGACGGAGAAACGGTCCAAAAGACTGACCTCCAGCTTGCTGGCATGGATCTCAGTCAGGTGGGGCACTGAGCAGGGAACACGGAGTTCATCATTTGAACACATATTCACTGAAACAGAGTCTATTTGTTGTGTGTGAACCATTTGTCTATTGCACGATTTGATGTATTTGATGTTATGTATATTGTATTGGGGAAGGGAAACATGTAATTAATCATTTTAACACATATTCACTGAAACAGAGTTTCATTTGGGAGAACCTATTTTAAAGGTGGATATAATGTAAGATATGTAGGATTGACATTGATATTGCAGTGTAAAATATGGGCGTATACATTGTTGTCTCTGGAAGTTCTGTGTTCTGATCTGATAAGAACATTCTTAAAACCAGATAGAGATCCCATAATCAGTGGATTTAAAGATATCCTAATTATACAAAGAAATATAAAATAAGGATTTAATATTTTTAGATGAGAACAAAATACCACTTAATGTCAGTTTAGGGGATGATTTGCCCTTTCTAAGACACCTGGATGTATATTTATATTCTTTCGGTTTAGGAACCACTTTCTTAACTTACCTGCAACTTTGTTTTAATGTTAGTATAATTAAATCACTGATTTGTGAAAAGTGTCAAAGCTAGGATTACATTTTTTTTCTTTCTTTCACTGATTGGCTAAAGGAAAGCAGAATAATACTGCGATACGAGAGATACGTGTGATACATTCGGTCGACTGGAGGAAAGGATTTTCTCCATCTGAAAATTGTTCATTTCCTTAAACACATTCAGTAGAAGTAGAAGTGTGTAACTACAGAGTGTTTAATATGCGCAGAGGTCCTTGTGTGTATGTGTCTGTGTCTGGACGAGGACAAAAGCTTCTCCTCTTCATCCCCCTCATCATCACATGCTCTGCTCTTCGTTGCCAAATGATCCCATGAGTTTGAACTGATGGTGTCTGATAAAACATTTTTTTAAAGGCCCTCCTTCAGCTTATCTTTCAGCTGCTTCCCGTTCTCTCCTCTCACCTAAATTGAGCTGGCAGGACTCCCCGGTCCCTGCTGCTCCTGTGAAGAAAAACACACTGATGATTACAGAGAGAATATCATGATATCTGAGTGATGCAGATAAACCACTTTAAGGTCTTACTCTTCACGGTGACGGTGGCCTTGCTGGTGGCGGTGCCGTGAGGGTTTGAAGCCATAGCGCTGTACTCAGCCGTATCGCTCACTGCACACCTGAGGGGCAAAGAGCGTGAGGAAATGACCTTACACCACAACATCTTGAAATCTTGCCAAGTATACGTGTCTAATATCTAGTCAGAATATGTCTCTACACCTAAGGCATAATAACTTCAGGAGTAACACTGCAGTCAGATATCGAGTCTTGTTTTTAGACAATCCATCATCTTGTTAATTCAAAACATCTTATTTTGAGTTGTATTTATTAGAAAATCACCAACTAACATCAGAAAACAGAAACACTTTGAGCATTTGCTGCTTATATTGTAACACAACATTTCCTGATTCTGGTCAAATATAGTTCAAAATGAGTTCTCCAGCTGATTAAAAGATCTGATTTATCTAAATACCCCGTCTTATTTCAAGAACTCTGACCAAGCACATGTTTCTATCGGCAGATTGTTGAACTTATTTCAAGTGAAAACGGCTCGTTTTCAATATTGTTCAACTTGTTTTTGGAGCAGGAATTTGTCCAGTGTATAAAACAAATATATAAATGTATGTAATATATACATATAATAATATGTATATAATATACATGTATGTGATTTGCCCCAGTACATCCATAACTTTCAGTTTTTTGTAAAATATATGATAACACTTTATTTTGATAGTCCATAGTTAACACTCTATAAGTCATCAGTCTTCAGTTATCCAGTGTTCGTGATCAGTTGTGCAAAACATTTCGCTTTATTCCCATGTCTCAGTGTTTCCCCTAGGATGGAGTCATAGCAGCGGTGCTAAGGCATGTGGGCCCAGCATAATGTGAGCGTGGAGCACGTGGAATTTTTTAGTGTGTGCGCGTGCGAAGTGCGCCCCGCCAATTTGTTTCTATGTGTCAGCACAAGAAAGGCTCTTGAGGCCTAGTACCAGGGCCGGTTCTAGACAATTTGCTGCCCTAGGTGAGATTTTAGGCGACATTTTATATGTAAAGAATAAATGAAAAATCTCTACAAAAGACAAATACGCTGCAAAAACAGAAACTTATTGACATAGGTAATAGACTTCAAAATGGCTTCAAATGTATTCAGTATTGTATGAACATGTTTGAATTGGGGGGTGGACGTCACATCCTCTAGGGGGGTCCGGGGCAATGTCTCAAGATTTAGCAAAAATACACCTTTATTGAACATACAGTAACACAAATACTACAAATCTACATAACAAACAATAAAAAATGAAAAAGGGTCGCCACTTATTATTTTAAGAAAAAAAAAAAAAGTTCAAAAAATCTAAAAATCTTTTCTTTTCTTTTTTTTGGGCTGGCTGGCTCTCCCTAGCAGCGGCGCTCATATTTGTATATAGGGGAAACACTGCTGTTGCATATAATTAGTGGATGAATGTATGTGTTCAGTTGATAGGTTATAGACTTTCTACTGTTCTCAACTGTTTTTCACTTTAATTGGATAGTCCTAACACATGCCTACAAACGCTTAATGGAGAATGC